ACTAAACTAAATGTGAAAATAAAAAAGCTCTTCTTAAAAAAAAAAAATAAAACGGTAACAAAAAAATAAAACAAACAAAAAATCAAAAACCATTGCGCCTGGACCACACTACTAAAGTGAAACTTCTTTTTATTCATTTCTAGTGCTCTTTATATTGCAGAAATGCATCTTAAGTTTAATGTTAACCTTATCTTTAATCTTGGTCTTCGTCTTTATATTCGTCCTCCTATTCGATTTTCACTTTCGTAAACGTCGTTTTACTCCCCGAATTCGTCTTTATATTCGTATTCGTTCTTGTATTCGTAGTCCTTTTGGGTTGGTCTTTGCAGTGGTTTTTATTCGTATTTGTCATTGCCTTCCTATTGGCCTCCGCATTTGCCTTCGCAGTCGTTATCGTATTCGTATTCGTTTTCCTACTCGTCCCCGTCTTTATATTCATTTTCGTATCCGCGTTCGCCTTTAATTGATTCATTCAATCAAAAAGCAATCAATTTTGAAACCATGAAAACTCTTGTAATCTACAGAAAAATTTCTTTCGAATGCACCTTTTTGGTTGTAAGGTTGGCATAGTAGAACCACCGTAGCGTGCAAGATACGAGTATGTATAGTGTGTAATAATAGCTCTGGCCAAACTCTGGTGTGTAACGGTAGATTGATAGGCTCAAAAGGCCTTTTCGTACAGGCAAAGTTTATTGAAACAATTATGCTCAAATGAGAAACTTCTGAAATTCACCTCGCTTACACCGACTATTTCTGATTTACTCCAAACAACTGTAAAATAAACATTTTCCATTTTTTTTAAGTTCCATCATTCAATTTCTTCTTAATCTCTATGAGTACACAAAAATATTTAATTTAAGTAACAACTAAAGTATCGATCTAAGTATTATAACCGTAATTCCCAACTCCACAGGCATTGCGTATGGCCAAGTTTACGCTACAGCATTAGCTACTACCTACTATGCCGCCATTATGGCACTGACAATCAAATACTTACTCGCCTCCTTCACGCCATTGCTACCTTGGGCGACATGTCAGCCGGAATGGGGCGCCAATTGTGCGTCAATCACCACCTACAACTCCAGCTTAATTGGCAATACATCTCATGAGAAATTGGTCTCCTCAGCAGAGTTGTATTTCACGTAAGTACGAGTGGCACAATGAATTTATAAATATGCATGTATGTACTTAAATAGTCACTTAAGTTTTACTTACTTACTTAAAGCAAGGTAGTGCTTCGCGAAAAGGATAATATTGAAGATGGTATCGGGGCGCCAAGTTTGGATCTTGTGATCTATTTATTTCTGGTATGGGTTTTGATTGCAGTTACTTTGATTAAAGGTAAGTTCTACTACAACTCGTGTACGTACATATATATATGTATGTATGTGTTGAGCTTTATTAATGCTTTCTCCATTTTTATTTTTCTTCAGGCATTCAAAGCTCTGGCAAAGCTTCGTATTTTCTAGCCTTATTTCCTTATGTCGTACTTTTTATTCTACTCGGGCGCGCACTAACTTTGCCTGGCGCCTGGGATGGTATAGTTTACTTCCTAAAACCGCAATGGGATCAGCTACTTAATCCTGAGGTAAGTATCGTCAATTATAGTTGTTTACTTAAGTTTTGATTTGATTTTTATTCAATGGTAGGTTTGGTATGCTGCTATTACACAGATGTTCTTTTCGTTAGCCATCTGCTTTGGCACGCTAATCATGTATGCTTCATACAATAATTTTCATAAGCGCGTTCACAAGTGAGTAATTTATGAAATTGGGTTGCCATAGGTTAGAAAATCAAATTCAAATAATCGCTTCCGCAGATGTTTGCGTCAAATATTTAAAACCAAGTCATAAAATCTGTATCGTTCGTTCGATTTTCAAAAAGGCTTGCGTTGTAGATGTGTAATATGGTTTTAGTTTTGTGCCATATGAATGTATGTAAGAAAATCAAAATCAAATTATTTAATAAGCTAAATAAATTACCCCAATACGGGTATCAATCGAAATGATTTTAAATGAACTTTATTTTTTAATTACATTTAAGAGGGGTGCCACCTGTTTGAAAAGTCGAATTTAGTTAAAGAAGTATTGTGCTTAAAATACTATGCAACAATTACAATATTTTTGAGGTGATTGAAGAGAGTGGCCACCTATTTAAAAAATTAAACTCAAATTACACTGTAGGACAGCCGAAACCAGCCCGGACTTTGTTAAAATTTTCTGAAAGTATACCCATCCAGTAGTAAAACACTCGGCGGATTTGCGAAAGTTAGCTCGTATTTTTATTTCATGGCCTACTAAAGTTTTCGTGCCTCGGCCTAAGTAGTTTTCAAAAAAATAGTTAAAATAAATGTCTGAGCGAAATTAAAGGTTAGGACATATAAAATAAAATTTCATGGGAAATATTTTCGTAGATAATTTTAAGCTATTAGCTCCCGCCTAAAAGGGCCATTTTGATCCTTACTTCATTAAATCCCGCAAAAAGCAACTTTGGAAGGTCGTTAGAGGACTGGTATACTTTAGAAAATTATTCTCCGGAAAATTTTACTAGGGGTCATCTCAGGCAAAAGCTTCGTGCTATTTACCAACGTAAAAGCCTCTAAAAATTTAAAATAAAAAACCAACAAAAAAATACTTTACATTATTTTTTTTTTTATTTAAGAATAACAGTTCCTTCTTGGCACAGATGTTTTGTTTCGATGCATCAGATCGAAAAACATGTATTTTTTACATGCATCCCTAAGACAAATGGAGGGCCACACACAGTGATGACTAATTTAATCAGAAACAAAAAAGTTGAAGAGTTGATTTTTTGGAAATAAATATGAAATTCGATTTTTTTCAGAAAAATTCGATGTTATCCGAATTTCAGCAACACAAAGTTCGATTTCAAAAATTCGCCATTTCGGAGCTAAAATTCGATTAAAATTCGAATATCGAAGCTTCGAATATCGAATTTACCCATCCCTAGTGTAGTATGATATGCACAAACGATGCTCTGAATGCTATTTTAGATTTTCTGCCATTGGATTTGGTAGGATAACCGACGGAAGCGCACGCTACTCCTTGCTGAGAGATATCACTGTTAGCGTTTGGCCGATTTGCATCTGCGCCGATTTGTGGCGTGCGCCTTAATGTCACACAAAGAGGAGGGACCTACAGTTTTACGCCGACTCCGAATAGCGATTGTGTTTTTATGAAAAGGTGTTTTCCGGAGCTGAAATACACTCAGAGGTTTCCCATTGCCTGCCGGGGTGCGACTGCTATTAGAAAAAA